CAGAGTTGAAATTGCTTTTTCTTTGATGTTGTCGTTCAAGTTCTAGAGATCGTATCCCTAAAATTTGAGATCAACAAGATATTCCTAAAGTAACTTTTGCTCGATGGAGTAAATGGATTATATACTCCCATGGGAGTAAGAAATCTTTTGAAAAAAATTTATACAAGGTTGCAACCCGTAAGGTGCACCTAAATAATTTAATAGAAAAGAGTGATATGAAGTTGAAAAATCTTCCACTTGATCATTTCGAACTCCAAATATATGGATATAAAAGAACATAATTTCAATTCCTAAAAATAATGTATATTCTAACAATTATCTATACTGTCTATCTTTCAAGATTTTCATGTGTTTATTATAGACTTGAAAGTATCAGTATCATTTTTAGTATTTTCAATTTCATAATTAGGGTGAAGCATGTATCGTCAAGGCATTGTAAACTTTTCGAAACTGAAACTATATTTTTAGCAAATTTTAGCAGGCCACCTTACTTCTATAATACAAGGTGGGTAGCTAATACAAACTGCGCCCATATGATCAATGCATGTCAATTGCTAACCACTTAAGCCTTAGCCTAGTTTCTCGTGTAGCCATAATGAATTGAAAAAAATTGCACTCAATTTCTCATAGTAAAATTATATGGCATGTTGTCCATCAATATATATATATATATATATAAATGAAGTTATTTAGTTTTTTTTTGTTATTGTTGTGAAGTCCATCTTTTTCAGTGTCATTCTTTGCAATAATTATATAAAATAGTTTTTTTGAGATAGTGAATAGTATTGTCCTGTTTTGGTGTTACGTGAAGTCTCCTATTGCATGTGTTTTAAATTACATTACATTTCTTAAAATTAGTAGGGGATTGTATCTTATATATTATCAGTCTATTTATCTTTGTTATAAAGAGATCACATTTACTACTAACTATTACATTTCAAACTAACTATTACATTTCAGATTGGATAGCTGGACGGATAAAAGTGACTATGAATTCCTTATATTAAAAGTAAACGATATTCTTTGTGTATTTTTCTTTAATATATTTACAACCATTCGAAAAACATACCTGAGAGCAATGTACTTGAGACCACAAACAGGAAGTGTGCATTGGTAGCCTATAATCTGACTTAATCTTTGATGCTTCCGTTTCTAATTTTGCTTCCATGTGTTACGATTGGTCCCTCACTCTGGACAGGTGGTTGTGATTTGAAGCTTGAAAGATAGGGTTGGAGTCTTGAAGCTTTATTCTCTTAGATGGAAAGCATCACCTTAGATTTTTTTTGGAAAATTTGCTTAGCTAATACGTCCAATATAAAAGGTTTATTTTTTTTAAACAAATTATTTTCACTGGAGGGAGCAGTCTGGCATTTAGAAGAGGAGGTCAGGCGATTATTTTGTTGGAATGGGTAGTCCGGCATTTTATTGTGACCGTATGGGGATTATGCGATTGGAGAAATGGGAAGTTCAGCGTTTAGAAATAGCATAAGTGCACTCCGGTGTTTCCTTTTTTTGGGATCTGAAAATGATTTATTATATCTGAGAAGGGTATTTTTGTCAAAAAAATTAAACTTTTTGTACTGGGGGTATTAATTAAAAAAGTTGGTTTTGGGGAAAAATATGTTAAAAAAATTTACGTCAGAGGTAAAGTGCCTAGAAAGTCCGTATTTGCGGGTTTTCTTCCCCCTAGCTTTCAATATATTGTGTACACATGGAAACTTCAATCCAAGGAGGGGACGGAAAGCAACTGTTTCTATTGAGTTTAAGTAGCAGTATACATCTTTAATTAAGGGAAAAGTTGTATACTAAATTGTAGAATTTAAAATGTAGAATTAAAGGTGTACCTCAAAAATCCGTCATACAAGATTGTTTGGATGTTGGAAAACCATCCAACATATGAATAGGCAACGAAAAAAAGATGTCATGTATGCAAAATAACATATCTTCCAACACATTATCTGGACCGTCGATTTTCAATATTTTCATGTGTTTATAGCCATTTTGAACACATGACAATATTGAAAATGTCTACTTGATGTGAGCCATTTTTAGAGGTTAAAATTTTTAATTAGACATGAAAATAGATTCTCAAGCCATCCTAATAAATTTTTATAACAAAATTAAAGTTATGATAAAATTTAGAGGTACGCTTTAATTGGATTGTTTAAGGTTGCAATCTCATGCAAACCACACCCCAAAGATTATTAGAAAAGGCTATTTTGATGTTGGAACAATATCTAATTAATTATCTTGACATCCGAGATGTAGGGGTATGAAAAAAAAAAGGGGATTTCATGTGCCAAAATGGTATCATTTGGCAAGAAAGCATATAGACTGTCTATTTTTAATATTTTTATGCATTTAAACAATTTTTGAATTTTAAAATCTTATAATTAGCAATAAAAGATCCTTAGGCCATCTAAAAAAAATTGCATCCTATAACAAAGATTGGCGGTGCGCCTTATTTTAATTGTTTAGGGTTGCAATCCTATGCAAACCTCAGCCTGAATTAAGTTTGTACATAGGAGTCTGTTTTTGTTTTTTTCAAACCAGTATGCTATGCACATTTGTGGATGATCACATTATTTGATAATCACTTCCAATTTAAGTCTATTTTATTTTAATTATTAAAAATAATATCCTATTATAGTATATGTGTATATTATAAGTAACATCAGGAAATAATTAGTACAAGGAAGTGGAAGAGTGCAAAATGGTTAAAGAAAATTGTTTCATGCGGACAAGACCACATTTTTACAATATGGGATTTTAGATGGATGCAAAAATAGGTGGTCCATCTAAAAAAAATTAATAATTTAAATGTTTTACTCATAAATAATTATTTTTATTTTTAAAAAACTATTTATATTTTATATTTATGGAGAGGATATTACATGTCCTTAAAAATTGAATCCGAAAATCCGACTCCAAAATAGATTTTTAAACATTGTCCATTTTACATGGACTTATAGAAACGTGTCCAATGCAATGGTTTAAAAAACGGATCGGTGACCCGGATCGGGCCTCCAAAAAACCGATCCGGATCGGCGAATCGGCGATCCGGATCGGGAATCGGGTGAATCGGTCAGAATAAAACTTAAAAAAAATCAAAAAAAATTATTAAAATTCATTATAAATATTGTTTCTTAGGAATTCAATAAGAAATGAGGGTACTCCATTAAGAATTTTCATGTTTTTGAATGAATATGCGAATATTGATATGTTCTTTCCCTGCATGAATCGTCATTCAGCATTTAATTTACATCACACAAAAGGATAAACATATAATTATCATGGAATAAGTATATCAACATACACAGACTACAATAAAGCACAAAATTAGTAACATATGATCTAAAAAAAAAATGATAGACGACGTTATTGTTCTTCTTGGTCACGCTGGTGCCATTGATTGAATTCGTTTAACAATTCATTGATTCGATCTAAAAACGAATCATCGATATTAGCAGGCGTCTGACTATTCCCAAATCCCTGAGTGTTAGTGTTTTGTTGTGTTCCCAATCTAAAATCCCCGAAGATTGTCCATCCTTCATGCTCACCTGCACTGTCGTGTGCATCCCTACACTGTTGCTGTTGGGACTCGATATGTGAATAATATGGCTGGGATAGGGTGGCCTCAGAATCATCATCTCTCTCATTTTCTCTTTGAATAATATAGATTAAAAAAAAATAACAAATTTTCAAAAAAATCGATTATGGATTAAAAAAAAAAAATCACAAATTTTCAAAAAATTCTATCATGGATTACAAAAAAAATTCGATCATGGATTAAAAAAAAAGAATCACAAATTTTCAAAAAATTCTATCATGGATTACAAAAAAAAATTCGATCATGGATTAAAAAAAAAAATCAGTAATTTTAAAAAAATTCAATCATGGATTACAAAAAATTCGATCATGGATTACATAAAATTCGATCATGGATTACATAAAATTCGATCATGGATTGCAAAAAAAAACAAACAAAAAAAACAAAAAATTCAATCGTGGATTACAAAAAAAGAAAAAAACAATTCGATCATGGATTACAAAAAATTCAATCATGGATTACAAAAAACTCTATCATGGGTTACAAAAAAAGCAAAAAACAAAAAATTCGATCGAGGATTGCAAAAAAAAAACAAACATTTCGATCATGGATTACAAAAAAAAAACAAACATTTCGATAATGTATTACAAAACATTCGATCATGGATTACAAAAATTCTATCATGGGTTACAAAAAAAAAAAAAAAAAAATTACTATCATGGATTACAAGAAAAAAAAAACAAA